AGATCCAGTCATTTTTATCCCTCAAGTTGGTTAAGAAATTCATAGCCTGCTGAATGAATACATAATAAGGTTATGGCGGAAACGGTTTTCAGCTAGAATGGATATGACTATGTGAACGGAAAAAAAGAAACTAACGAGAAAGTTAAAGATTTCGGTGGAACGTTTAGGTATCGATATGCCTATGAATAAGTGTCAGTTCCGAAGTTAATGGAAATATATGAAGTAATTGGAAAAAATATAATGAATGGAATGTCAGGTGTATATGTGATAACCCTAACCTTCATAGTGTTAGGGTTGAAGTGCCACTAAGGGGAAAATAAATATCCATAACATGAGGTGATGACGATGAAAAATTGTCGACATATGCAATATATCAAAACAACTAATTAAAATGATTACCTGTCAACTAATAATTTCCAATAGTAATATTTGAATGGGATTTAAAAAAAAAAAAAAAAAAAAAAATAGCATTCGTCTAGTAACAAATAATTTTCATTCTGTTATGTATCGAGTAACAAGGTGCTCTAAGTGAAGGTTGGGATTAAAGTGATAAAAGTTATAAATGCCGCCCTCAATTGGAGAAATCTATTTTTTTTCTTATTTATTTTTATTGTATTTTTATTTTTTATTTTTTAATTTTATTTTCTTTTTTTTTTTTCTTTTTTTTTTTTTCCATTTTTTGCTTTTTTTGTTTTGCTTTGTTATTTTAATCCAAATTGGGATTAACCTGGTACATAAAATTTCTTTTTTAAATAAATAAACTAAGCGTTTGACAAGAGATTGATTTGCCAATAGTGGCAAAAAAAAATTGTAAAAAAAGACTTTTTTTTTTATTTCTGCATGTAAAGGTAGTAAACCAATCATTACGTATTATTAGACTGAACAGGTAATAATTTTTAATGACTAGTTTTTTGTAATTAAAAAACGACGACGTCTTAAGGAAATTACCATTTACCGCCTGAGAAATAAACAAAATAATACATGATTATATAACCTTCTACATTTACGATTTTGAAAAAATAAAAATAAAAATTGTTGTAAAATTAATAATTGCTCTTAACTGAGTTTGGAATAAATAATGTAGAATTGCCAAAATAAACTTACTAAACTGCTTATAAAGTTCATTGAAGACTTCAAAATTTAACAATATAAAGAAAAGCTTTGATTTTTTTTTAATTAATTAGCTTTAGTTGTTCTTGCGTTATCGTTGTAGTATAATTGCTTTTTTATGCACTTGGCTTACATTTCTTAGACATTTAAGCTGAGTCTGAACAATTGTTTGTTAAAAAAAAAAATTAAATCTAGGGTTAAATATGGTGGTTATTTAGGAAATATAAACTTAAAATATCTTTCTACTTCATATTAATGAATTTTTTTTTTTTCAAGTAACCAAAATAAACATTAATCTAGTTTAATTCCTAATTTTATAAAGTGACAAACACAGTTTTGAATAACAGGAAAATCACTTGTCGTCAAATTAAAATAACTTGTAAACCGTCTTTATTGTAATTGTTTCTGGTGAGTCGAGGTTATTTGAAAGTAGTCTATTTAATTTACATCAACATTCAATTATGGCTTCCAGTAACAATCTACCTACTCTAGTCATAAAATTCCTAATTATGACAAAAGTATTTTGCTCCAAAGTAACTTTAATTTTGTCCTTCATATACTTCAACACACACTCTTGCTCCCCCTTTTTTTGTTTCTTCCAGCAAATTAAGGGATAATGGAAAATATAAAAATTTTTTTTGTGGGTCCATCAGTTGCTGTCAATATTGTTTTGGAAATGAAAGGGTGAACTTCAACTGTCGGGAAATTAAGCAAAGGAGGCATCGTAACGTTCAAGTTTAAAAAAAAAAAACCTTTACAAGGACTTTGTTCATTAAGTGGCTAGTTTGTTGGTTAAAATAAATCTGAAGTTCGTGATTCACTTTACCTGGAATTGATTTACTAAACTGGCTACTCCAGTAGTCACTAATATGGTTACCACACCATGATTCCTGCCCACCTGTCATGATTCCAACAATTGATACAAGACGATCGATAATTCTTTTGAATTTGATCAACAAAAAAAATTTAACTGAAATATCTTAGAGGTATCAAATATTGAAGCTACACTGATATTTCACAAAACCTTATTCGTTTTGTTGTGATCATAAACTCTATTCATTTAAACTGTGTAATCATGATAAAAGTCAAAGGAATTTCAAAAGAATGCGCTTGAATGCAAGCAAATTTTTGCGCTCCTCGACAAACTGTAACAACCTCTACATGATTTAAAAATTTCACTCCAGTGTAACTTGCCAAAACGAAACCAAAACCGCTTGTAAGTTTTGAAAATATTGTATGACAATACCACGAGTTATCACAATTACACAACAAAAAATTGTTAAGATGGTTCTTGGACAACTTGGCAAAAATATCAAAACCTGAGCAAGAAACCTCTCCAATTCCAAGTTTCCTTAAATTAATTCTTTAATATAAAATCTCATAACTATTGCTATACTTTTAAGTCTATTGAAATAAAGCTTATGTAACAGGATCAAGAAAGAAAGCGATTATAAAGCTTACAATATCTCTGAACACAGAAATATTAGTAGCTTCATGATAATATCCTTTATTTGTCTGGTAAGAATAACCTGTGGTTCTGCATAATTCATTGCAGCTATGTTCCCTAAAATTGCCAGGTTGGTTTTTATCTTCGACAAAGGATAACAACAGATATATGTTAACACAGAAATCCATTATTGGACTCCAGATATCTGATTCATCAATTTTCTTTTGTCTTTGACCAAGACTTAGTCAGGTAAACTGAAGAAAATGAAATGAAATAAAATAAAATAAAGGAAAGAGGAAACGGGCTAGCAATGCATGCTTAGACTAATTAGTCAAATAATTGACACAATACTGGGCATAAACCATAGAGCTCAATTATAATAATATAATGAATTGGAAAACAACCATTTAACTCGCTTTCAAGATATTAGCAATCAAAATGGAAAATTAAAAAAAAAAAAACAATTATTGAAAAATAAAGATTCAAAACTTCAAAACTTCCCCACTCATATCCACTAAAAACTATGAGACCTATTTTCCTAGATATAAAATGATAGTTTTAGTAACTCTAATATACCTTTGCAATTACAATAATTCATTCAGATTTGAAATTATTTTTTTTCTCGACCATTAACTCAACTATCAAACTCTTTAATATTAGATCTAATGTTCAAAACATTGTATAGAACATCATTAGTAATAAGTTACAGCTTGAATGCATATTTATATATGTTTCTTTCTGTTTTCACAAAAGCCATTGAAATTGTAAATTTTATGATTTTTTCTCTTCAGATACAGCCAATAGTGCTGTTAGCAAAATACTAGGTTTTTTTAGGCTTCACAGCTTGTTCAAGAAAAAATAGTTACTAGGCTTCAAGGTTTTCAAAGTATATTGATGATCATAAACTTTTAATATAACCATCTAATATGCTATTGGATTAAAAATTGATCATTATTATCTGCAATATCTAGTTAGTGATAACTCAATGTACTGTGTGAAATGAATTTATGAACTGCCCGAATAAATTAAATAAATAACTGTCGAGTTCTCGGTATAATATGACTTTAATAATGATAGTGATAAATAATAAAAGTGATTTATTGAATAATAAGTAATAGTCTATATATGATTAGTATCCCGGGACCATCAGCCTAGATCATTCCTCTTACCTTTGATCTTAAGAATACTTTGTTATCTCTTCAGTATCCTATTCTTGTGTAATGCTGATGGTTCTGGTGATGCTTCTAGGTTTGTGGTTATATTGCCACCTGGCCAATGTAACCCTAACCACTCAGGTCACGGGGCCCAGAGGCCCCCCGTGACAATAACTGAAAAAATTTATTATGTAAAATACTAAATTGTTTGTAGATAAAATAAATAAAGGATACTGGGTATACGGCTAAACAACAAGGAAACAAATATTGTCGCAAAAAGAAATTTACATCACGTCCAAACTAATAACCTTAATCTATACCTATACTTATCCCTATCGATAGATATCCCAAAAAAACATTGTCATATTGCCTAAGACCAATGTATCAAAAATTGTTGTAAAAAATTTATCCTATATGAAATTAATGAAATCCTAAATTCTTTTTTTTAAGCACTTAATATCCCAGATTCTTCTCAAGAAAAATACCATAATGAGAAGTCAAAAACTACCAATTAAAGTAGAAGAGACAATCCAAAAATGTTGGCTATTACAAGAGAATTTTAATAGGACACTGTTAAAATTTAATATGAGTAAAAATCCAAATTTCCCATAGTAAATTTAATGTTGCATAAAAAAAAGAATTTGAGCCGCATACTTGATATTTTAAGCTCCTATTTGGGTCAAAAACTTTAAATTTCAGGAATATGATTGGCTTATTTACAAAAATTTCGACAAAAAGGGAAATATTTCTATCACGATGTTTTAATTTTAACAGTGGGACCTGTATTAATAATAATATGTGACAATAACAATAATTATTATTAGTTTATACTAAAAATAATATCCGCAATTTATTGCCTTTGTTTTGGGAAACGTGCATATCTCCCATAAACAAGCCTAATAATGGACTCTTTTAAAATATGTTTGCGATTAATATATAAGTTTGGGAATACCCCCCTCAAAAAAAAAACAATATAGCTTACAATCATCGATACTTTATTTTATTACACCTTAACCTTATTTATTAACAAATTTTTTTGAAAAGAAATCAGGAAAGGAGGAATTTAAAATAAATTCTTTACTTCTTTCAATTATTATATTTAGTCTTAAAATAATTATCTATCACAAGGTATGAGTTAAACCCGACTTTTTTTTAATGATTTAATGAATTCTAAAACGGAAACAGAAAAGAATAGGGACTAAGTTATAAGGTGATATTTATTATACCACAAGCAGTAAGTAGATGTCAAATAAATCTACGAAGTTCCATTACTAACGAGAAGTTTAGCAATGCGAATTAGTGCATTATTTATTCCAATATTTGGAATTGCAGCAGTGTCTGCCACTTGTGTTATAAGCACAACTGTTTGTGAAAATGCTTGTAACAACGCCAATACCCTTATTGATAATTATTATTATAGCTTTAGTGTCTTCTCATCAGGTTATACATGCGATCCAACACATACAGTTACTATAGACTCGAATGCAGTAGACATGGGGGGGACACTTCTATCAGCTGTCACTGCTTGCCGCTATTGTGTTACAAATGGCTTCGTAACGGCAAGCGATTATATTTATTACGAAGGTTGGATGAATAATTGTTACACCGCTAATGAGGCTTCAATTCCTGATAGCTTTAATACCCAGTGTATTTGTGACGTTGGTAATACTGACAGTAGTAATTGCGAAACCATGTGTGGTACTGCCCAAGATTATTCGCTAAATTTGATAAGTTTGGTCGCTTGTGGAGTTATCGATAATGTTGTTAAAAGAAATGTGGTTGGCTGTGTATTATGTGGAAATCTTGCGACGTCTGCTAACAATTACTGTGGAAATCTGGTTACTGCGCTTTTGTGCGTTGTCGGTGGTTTATTATCTATCGTTGGAAATCTTTTAACCGTAATTGGGCAGTTGTTGACTGATGTCTTAACAGTTGTCACAGGATTATTGGCGGATTGCAACTTAGACGCTGTAAATTTGTGTTCAATAGAATCTTGTACATTAGAAGGATTAGATTCAGACACATGTAACGCATACTGTTCAACTACTCAAACATGGATAACAGGGAACGAATTAAGCGGAAAAACTTGCAGCGATCTGTCTATGGGAGCGAAACAAGTAATTGGAGGATGTTTAATGTGTGGTTCAATAATTGGGTATGCAACTCCTAACAGCGTGCAGGTTGATCTGGGAACAATATTACCAACAGCGTGTATACAAGAAGTACAAGATGCTGCTTGTAATGGAAATTATGTTGAATCGTTATCTGAATCATCGGAAGATGCAGTATCAGAAGCAGAAGAATCATCAGAGGAAGCTGCAGATGACGCATCCTCTTCTTCCGAAGCAGCTGCTGATGAAGCTTCCTCATCTTCTGAGGATGCTGCTGATGATAAGGCCTCTTCTTCTTCCGAAGCTGCTGCTGATGAAGCTTCTTCTTCATCTGAGGATGCTGCTGATGATAAGGCCTCTTCTTCGTCAGAAGCTGCTGCTGATGAAGCTTCATCTTCATCTGAGGATGCACTTGATAAGGCCTCTTCTTCTTCCGAAGCAGCTGCTGATGAAGCTTCATCTTCATCTGAGGATGCTCTTGATAAGGCTTCTTCTTCTTCCGAAGCTGCTGCTGATGAAGCATCTTCTTCATCTGAGGATGCTCTTGATAAGGCCTCGTCTTCTTCCGAAGCTGCTGCTGATGAAGCTTCATCTTCATCTGAGGATGCTCTTGATAAGGCCTCTTCTTCTTCCGAAGCTGCTGCTGATGAAGCATCTTCTTCATCTGAGGATGCTCTTGATAAGGCCTCTTCTTCTTCCGAAGCTGCTGCTGATGAAGCTTCATCTTCATCTGAGGATGCTCTTGACAAGGCCTCGTCTTCTTCCGAAGCAGCTGCTGATGAAGCTTCATCTTCATCTGAAAATGCTCTTGACAAGGCCTCTTCTTCTTCCGAAGCTGCTGCTGATGAAGCATCTTCTTCATCTGAGGATGCTCTTGATAAGGCCTCTTCTTCGTCTGAAGCTGCTGCTGATGAAGCTTCATCTTCATCTGAGAATGCTTTTGATAAGGCCTCTTCTTCTTCCGAAGCTGCTGCTGATGAAGCATCTTCTTCATCTGAGGATGCTCTTGATAAGGCCTCTTCTTCTTCCGAAGCTGCTGCTGATGAAGCTTCATCTTCATCTGAAAATGCTCTTGATAAGGCCTCTTCTTCTTCCGAAGCTGCTGCTGATGAAGCATCTTCTTCATCTGAGGATGCTCTTGATAAGGCCTCGTCTTCTTCCGAAGCTGCTGCTGATGAAGCTTCATCTTCATCTGAAAATGCTCTTGATAAGGCTTCTTCTTCTTCCGAAGCTGCTGCTGATGAAGCATCTTCTTCATCTGAGGAAGCTCTTGATAAGGCCTCTTCTTCTTCCGAAGCTGCTGCTGATGAAGCATCTTCTTCATCTGAGGATGCACTTGATAAGGCCTCTTCTTCTTCCGAAGCTGCTGCTGATGAAGCTTCATCTTCATCTGAGGATGCACTTGACAAGGCCTCGTCTTCTTCCGAAGCTGCTGCTGATGAAGCTTCATCTTCATCTGAGGATGCTCTTGATAAGGCCTCTTCTTCTTCCGAAGCTGCTGCTGATGAAGCTTCATCTTCATCTGAGGATGCTCTTGATAAGGCCTCGTCTTCTTCCGAAGCTGCTGCTGATGAAGCTTCATCTTCATCTGAGGATGCTCTTGATAAGGCCTCTTCTTCTTCCGAAGCTGCTGCTGATGAAGCTTCATCTTCATCTGAGGATGCTCTTGATAAGGCTTCTTCTTCTTCCGAAGCTGCTGCTGATGAAGCATCTTCTTCATCTGAGGATGCTCTTGATAAGGCCTCGTCTTCTTCCGAAGCAGCTGCTGATGAAGCTTCATCTTCATCTGAAAATGCTCTTGACAAGGCCTCTTCTTCTTCCGAAGCTGCTGCTGATGAAGCTTCATCTTCATCTGAGGATGCTCTTGATAAGGCCTCTTCTTCTTCCGAAGCTGCTGCTGATGAAGCTTCATCTTCATCTGAGGATGCTCTTGATAAGGCCTCTTCTTCGTCAGAAGCTGCTGCTGATGAAGCTTCATCTTCATCTGAGGATGCACTTGATAAGGCTTCTTCTTCTTCCGAAGCTGCTGCTGATGAAGCTTCATCTTCATCTGAAAATGCACTTGACAAGGCCTCTTCTTCTTCCGAAGCTGCTGCTGATGAAGCATCTTCTTCATCCGAGGATGCTCTTGATAAGGCCTCTTCTTCTTCCGAAGCTGCTGCTGATGAAGCTTCATCTTCATCTGAGGATGCTCTTGATAAGGCTTCTTCTTCTTCCGAAGCTGCTGCTGATGAAGCATCTTCTTCATCTGAGGATGCACTTGATAAGGCCTCTTCTTCTTCCGAAGCAGCTGCTGATGAAGCTTCATCTTCATCTGAGGATGCTCTTGATAAGGCTTCTTCTTCTTCCGAAGCTGCTGCTGATGAAGCTTCATCTTCATCTGAGGATGCTCTTGATAAGGCCTCGTCTTCTTCCGAAGCTGCTGCTGATGAAGCTTCATCTTCATCTGAGGATGCTCTTGACAAGGCCTCTTCTTCATCCGAAGCTGCTGCTGATGAAGCTTCATCTTCATCTGAGGATGCTCTTGATAAGGCCTCTTCTTCTTCCGAAGCTGCTGCTGATGAAGCTTCATCTTCATCTGAGGATGCTCTTGATAAGGCCTCTTCTTCTTCCGAAGCTGCTGCTGATGAAGCATCTTCTTCATCTGAGGATGCTCTTGATAAGGCCTCGTCTTCTTCCGAAGCTGCTGCTGATGAAGCTTCATCTTCATCTGAGGATGCTCTTGATAAGGCCTCTTCTTCTTCCGAAGCTGCTGCTGATGAAGCTTCATCTTCATCTGAGGATGCTCTTGATAAGGCCTCGTCTTCATCCGAAGCTGCTGCTGATGAAGCATCTTCTTCATCCGAGGATGCTCTTGATAAGGCCTCTTCTTCGTCTGAAGCTGCTGCTGATGAAGCATCTTCTTCATCTGAAAATGCTCTTGATAAGGCTTCTTCTTCTTCCGAAGCTGCTGCTGATGAAGCATCTTCTTCATCTGAGGATGCACTTGATAAGGCCTCTTCTTCTTCCGAAGCTGCTGCTGATGAAGCTTCATCTTCATCCGAGGATGCTCTTGATAAGGCCTCTTCTTCGTCTGAAGCTGCTGCTGATGAAGCATCTTCTTCATCTGAGGATGCTCTTGATAAGGCCTCTTCTTCGTCTGAAGCTGCTGCTGATGAAGCTTCATCTTCATCTGAAAATGCATTGACAAGGCCTCGTCTTCTTCCGAAGCTGCTGCTGATGAAGCTTCATCTTCATCTGAGGATGCTCTTGATAAGGCCTCTTCTTCTTCCGAAGCTGCTGCTGATGAAGCTTCATCTTCATCTGAGGATGCTCTTGACAAGGCCTCGTCTTCTTCCGAAGCAGCTGCTGATGAAGCTTCATCTTCATCTGAAAATGCTCTTGACAAGGCCTCTTCTTCTTCCGAAGCTGCTGCTGATGAAGCATCTTCTTCATCTGAGGATGCTCTTGATAAGGCCTCTTCTTCTTCCGAAGCAGCTGCTGATGAAGCTTCATCTTCATCTGAGGATGCTCTTGATAAGGCTTCTTCTTCTTCCGAAGCTGCTGCTGATGAAGCTTCATCTTCATCTGAGGATGCTCTTGATAAGGCCTCTTCTTCTTCCGAAGCTGCTGCTGATGAAGCTTCATCTTCATCTGAGGATGCTCTTGATAAGGCCTCTTCTTCTTCCGAAGCTGCTGCTGATGAAGCTTCATCTTCATCTGAGGATGCTCTTGATAAGGCCTCTTCTTCTTCCAGAAGCTGCTGCTGATGAAGCTTCATCTTCATCTGAGGATGCTCTTGACAAGGCCTCGTCTTCTTCCAGAAGCTGCTGCTGATGAAGCTTCATCTTCATCTGAGGATGCACTTGACAAGGCCTCTTCTTCTTCCGAAGCTGCTGCTGATGAAGCATCTTCTTCATCTGAGGATGCTCTTGATAAGGCCTCTTCTTCTTCCGAAGCAGCTGCTGATGAAGCTTCATCTTCATCTGAGGATGCTCTTGATAAGGCTTCTTCTTCTTCCGAAGCTGCTGCTGATGAAGCTTCATCTTCATCTGAGGATGCTCTTGATAAGGCCTCTTCTTCTTCCGAAGCTGCTGCTGATGAAGCTTCATCTTCATCTGAAAATGCTCTTGATAAGGCCTCTTCTTCTTCCAGAAGCTGCTGCTGATGAAGCATCTTCTTCATCTGAGGATGCACTTGACAAGGCCTCGTCTTCTTCCGAAGCTGCTGCTGATGAAGCTTCATCTTCATCTGAGGATGCACTTGACAAGGCCTCGTCTTCTTCCGAAGCTGCTGCTGATGAAGCTTCATCTTCATCTGAGGATGCTCTTGATAAGGCCTCTTCTTCTTCCGAAGCTGCTGCTGATGAAGCTTCATCTTCATCTGAAAATGCTCTTGATAAGGCCTCTTCTTCTTCCGAAGCTGCTGCTGATGAAGCATCTTCTTCATCTGAGGATGCACTTGATAAGGCCTCTTCTTCTTCCAGAAGCTGCTGCTGATGAAGCATCATCTTCATCTGAAAATGCTCTTGATAAGGCCTCTTCTTCTTCCAGAAGCTGCTGCTGATGAAGCTTCATCTTCATCCGAGGATGCTCTTGACAAGGCTTCTTCTTCTTCCGAAGCTGCTGCTGATGAAGCATCTTCTTCATCTGAGGATGCTCTTGATAAGGCCTCTTCTTCTTCCGAAGCTGCTGCTGATGAAGCTTCATCTTCATCTGAGGATGCTCTTGATAAGGCTTCTTCTTCTTCCGAAGCTGCTGCTGATGAAGCATCTTCTTCATCTGAGGATGCTCTTGATAAGGCCTCTTCTTCTTCCGAAGCTGCTGCTGATGAAGCATCTTCTTCATCTGAGGATGCACTTGATAAGGCCTCGTCTTCTTCCGAAGCTGCTGCTGATGAAGCTTCATCTTCATCTGAGGATGCACTTGACAAGGCCTCGTCTTCTTCCGAAGCTGCTGCTGATGAAGCTTCATCTTCATCTGAGGATGCTCTTGACAAGGCCTCTTCTTCATCTGAGGCTGCTGCTGATGAAGCTTCATCTTCATCTGAGGATGCACTTGATAAGGCCTCTTCTTCGTCTGAAGCTGCTGCTGATGAAGCTTCATCTTCATCTGAGGATGCTCTTGATAAGGCCTCTTCTTCTTCCGAAGCTGCTGCTGATGAAGCTTCATCTTCATCTGAGGATGCTCTTGATAAGGCCTCTTCTTCTTCCGAAGCTGCTGCTGATGAAGCTTCATCTTCATCTGAGAATGCTCTTGATAAGGCCTCTTCTTCTTCCGAAGCTGCTGCTGATGAAGCTTCATCTTCATCTGAAAATGCACTTGACAAGGCCTCTTCTTCTTCCGAAGCTGCTGCTGATGAAGCATCTTCTTCATCCGAGGATGCTCTTGATAAGGCCTCTTCTTCTTCCGAAGCTGCTGCTGATGAAGCTTCATCTTCATCTGAGGATGCTCTTGATAAGGCTTCTTCTTCTTCCGAAGCTGCTGCTGATGAAGCATCTTCTTCATCTGAGGATGCACTTGATAAGGCCTCTTCTTCTTCCGAAGCAGCTGCTGATGAAGCTTCATCTTCATCTGAGGATGCTCTTGATAAAGGCTTCTTCTTCTTCGAAGCTGCTGCTGATGAAGCTTCATCTTCATCTGAGGATGCTCTTGATAAGGCCTCGTCTTCTTCCGAAGCTGCTGCTGATGAAGCTTCATCTTCATCTGAGGATGCTCTTGACAAGGCCTCTTCTTCATCCGAAGCTGCTGCTGATGAAGCTTCATCTTCATCTGAGGATGCTCTTGATAAGGCCTCTTCTTCTTCCGAAGCTGCTGCTGATGAAGCTTCATCTTCATCTGAGGATGCTCTTGATAAGGCCTCTTCTTCTTCCGAAGCTGCTGCTGATGAAGCATCTTCTTCATCTGAGGATGCTCTTGATAAGGCCTCGTCTTCTTCCGAAGCTGCTGCTGATGAAGCTTCATCTTCATCTGAGGATGCTCTTGATAAGGCCTCTTCTTCTTCCGAAGCTGCTGCTGATGAAGCTTCATCTTCATCTGAGGATGCTCTTGATAAGGCCTCGTCTTCATCCGAAGCTGCTGCTGATGAAGCATCTTCTTCATCCGAGGATGCTCTTGATAAGGCCTCTTCTTCGTCTGAAGCTGCTGCTGATGAAGCATCTTCTTCATCTGAAAATGCTCTTGATAAGGCTTCTTCTTCTTCCGAAGCTGCTGCTGATGAAGCATCTTCTTCATCTGAGGATGCACTTGATAAGGCCTCTTCTTCTTCCGAAGCTGCTGCTGATGAAGCTTCATCTTCATCCGAGGATGCTCTTGATAAGGCCTCTTCTTCGTCTGAAGCTGCTGCTGATGAAGCATCTTCTTCATCTGAGGATGCTCTTGATAAGGCCTCTTCTTCGTCTGAAGCTGCTGCTGATGAAGCTTCATCTTCATCTGAAAATGCACTTGACAAGGCCTCGTCTTCTTCCGAAGCTGCTGCTGATGAAGCTTCATCTTCATCTGAGGATGCTCTTGATAAGGCCTCTTCTTCTTCCGAAGCTGCTGCTGATGAAGCTTCATCTTCATCTGAGGATGCTCTTGACAAGGCCTCGTCTTCTTCCGAAGCAGCTGCTGATGAAGCTTCATCTTCATCTGAAAATGCTCTTGACAAGGCCTCTTCTTCTTCCGAAGCTGCTGCTGATGAAGCATCTTCTTCATCTGAGGATGCTCTTGATAAGGCCTCTTCTTCTTCCGAAGCAGCTGCTGATGAAGCTTCATCTTCATCTGAGGATGCTCTTGATAAGGCTTCTTCTTCTTCCGAAGCTGCTGCTGATGAAGCTTCATCTTCATCTGAGGATGCTCTTGATAAGGCCTCTTCTTCTTCCGAAGCTGCTGCTGATGAAGCTTCATCTTCATCTGAGGATGCTCTTGATAAGGCCTCTTCTTCTTCCGAAGCTGCTGCTGATGAAGCTTCATCTTCATCTGAGGATGCTCTTGATAAGGCCTCTTCTTCTTCCGAAGCTGCTGCTGATGAAGCTTCATCTTCATCTGAGGATGCTCTTGACAAGGCCTCGTCTTCTTCCGAAGCTGCTGCTGATGAAGCTTCATCTTCATCTGAGGATGCACTTGACAAGGCCTCTTCTTCTTCCGAAGCTGCTGCTGATGAAGCATCTTCTTCATCTGAGGATGCTCTTGATAAGGCCTCTTCTTCTTCCGAAGCAGCTGCTGATGAAGCTTCATCTTCATCTGAGGATGCTCTTGATAAGGCTTCTTCTTCTTCCGAAGCTGCTGCTGATGAAGCTTCATCTTCATCTGAGGATGCTCTTGATAAGGCCTCTTCTTCTTCCGAAGCTGCTGCTGATGAAGCTTCATCTTCATCTGAAAATGCTCTTGATAAGGCCTCTTCTTCTTCCGAAGCTGCTGCTGATGAAGCATCTTCTTCATCTGAGGATGCACTTGACAAGGCCTCGTCTTCTTCCGAAGCTGCTGCTGATGAAGCTTCATCTTCATCTGAGGATGCACTTGACAAGGCCTCGTCTTCTTCCGAAGCTGCTGCTGATGAAGCTTCATCTTCATCTGAGGATGCTCTTGATAAGGCCTCTTCTTCTTCCGAAGCTGCTGCTGATGAAGCTTCATCTTCATCTGAAAATGCTCTTGATAAGGCCTCTTCTTCTTCCGAAGCTGCTGCTGATGAAGCATCTTCTTCATCTGAGGATGCACTTGATAAGGCCTCTTCTTCTTCCGAAGCTGCTGCTGATGAAGCATCATCTTCATCTGAAAATGCTCTTGATAAGGCCTCTTCTTCTTCCGAAGCTGCTGCTGATGAAGCTTCATCTTCATCCGAGGATGCTCTTGACAAGGCTTCTTCTTCTTCCGAAGCTGCTGCTGATGAAGCATCTTCTTCATCTGAGGATGCTCTTGATAAGGCCTCTTCTTCTTCCGAAGCTGCTGCTGATGAAGCTTCATCTTCATCTGAGGATGCTCTTGATAAGGCTTCTTCTTCTTCCGAAGCTGCTGCTGATGAAGCATCTTCTTCATCTGAGGATGCTCTTGATAAGGCCTCTTCTTCTTCCGAAGCTGCTGCTGATGAAGCATCTTCTTCATCTGAGGATGCACTTGATAAGGCCTCGTCTTCTTCCGAAGCTGCTGCTGATGAAGCTTCATCTTCATCTGAGGATGCACTTGACAAGGCCTCGTCTTCTTCCGAAGCTGCTGCTGATGAAGCTTCATCTTCATCTGAGGATGCTCTTGACAAGGCCTCTTCTTCATCTGAGGCTGCTGCTGATGAAGCTTCATCTTCATCTGAGGATGCACTTGATAAGGCCTCTTCTTCGTCTGAAGCTGCTGCTGATGAAGCTTCATCTTCATCTGAGGATGCTCTTGATAAGGCCTCTTCTTCTTCCGAAGCTGCTGCTGATGAAGCTTCATCTTCATCTGAGGATGCTCTTGATAAGGCCTCTTCTTCTTCCGAAGCTGCTGCTGATGAAGCTTCATCTTCATCTGAGAATGCTCTTGATAAGGCCTCTTCTTCTTCCGAAGCTGCTGCTGATGAAGCATCTTCTTCATCTGAGGATGCTCTTGATAAGGCCTCTTCTTCTTCCGAAGCTGCTGCTGATGAAGCTTCATCTTCATCTGAGGATGCTCTTGATAAGGCTTCTTCTTCTTCCGAAGCTGCTGCTGATGAAGCTTCATCTTCATCTGAAAATGCACTTGACAAGGCCTCTTCTTCTTCCGAAGCTGCTGCTGATGAAGCTTCATCTTCATCTGAGGATGCTCTTGATAAGGCCTCTTCTTCTTCCGAAGCTGCTGCTGATGAAGCTTCATCTTCATCTGAGGATGCTCTTGATAAGGCCTCTTCTTCTTCCGAAGCTGCTGCTGATGAAGCTTCATCTTCATCTGAGGATGCTCTTGATAAGGCCTCTTCTTCTTCCGAAGCTGCTGCTGATGAAGCTTCATCTTCATCTGAGGATGCTCTTGACAAGGCCTCGTCTTCTTCCGAAGCTGCTGCTGATGAAGCTTCATCTTCATCTGAGGATGCACTTGACAAGGCCTCTTCTTCTTCCGAAGCTGCTGCTGATGAAGCTTCATCTTCATCTGAGGATGCTCTTGATAAGGCCTCTTCTTCTTCCGAAGCTGCTGCTGATGAAGCTTCATCTTCATCTGAGGATGCTCTTGATAAGGCCTCTTCTTCTTCCGAAGCTGCTGCTGATGAAGCTTCATCTTCATCTGAGGATGCTCTTGATAAGGCCTCTTCTTCTTCCAGAAGCTGCTGCTGATGAAGCTTCATCTTCATCTGAGGATGCTCTTGACAAGGCCTCGTCTTCTTCCGAAGCTGCTGCTGATGAAGCTTCATCTTCATCTGAGGATGCATGACAAGGCCTCTTCTTCTTCCAGAAGCTGCTGCTGATGAAGCATCTTCTTCATCTGAGGATGCTCTTGATAAGGCCTCTTCTTCTTCCGAAGCAGCTGCTGATGAAGCTTCATCTTCATCTGAGGATGCTCTTGATAAGGCTTCTTCTTCTTCCGAAGCTGCTGCTGATGAAGCTTCATCTTCATCTGAGGATGCTCTTGATAAGGCCTCTTCTTCTTCCGAAGCTGCTGCTGATGAAGCTTCATCTTCATCTGAGGATGCTCTTGATAAGGCTTCTTCTTCTTCCGAAGCTGCTGCTGATGAAGCATCTTCTTCATCTGAGGATGCACTTGACAAGGCCTCTTCTTCGTCTGAAGCTGCTGCTGATGAAGCTTCATCTTCATCTGAGGATGCTCTTGATAAGGCCTCGTCTTCTTCCGAAGCTGCTGCTGATGAAGCTTCATCTTCATCTGAGGATGCTCTTGATAAGGCTTCTTCTTCTTCCGAAGCTGCTGCTGATGAAGCATCTTCTTCATCTGAGGATGCACTTGACAAGGCCTCGTCTTCTTCCGAAGCTGCTGCTGATGAAGCATCTTCTTCATCTGAGGATGCTCTTGATAAGGCCTCTTCTTCTTCCGAAGCTGCTGCTGATGAAGCATCTTCTTCATCTGAGGATGCACTTGATAAGGCCTCTTCTTCTTCCGAAGCTGCTGCTGATGAAGCTTCATCTTCATCTGAGGATGCACTTGACAAGGCCTCGTCTTCTTCCGAAGCTGCTGCTGATGAAGCTTCATCTTCATCTGAGGATGCTCTTGATAAGGCCTCTTCTTCTTCCGAAGCTGCTGCTGATGAAGCTTCATCTTCATCTGAGGATGCACTTGATAAGGCCTCGTCTTCTTCCGAAGCTGCTGCTGATGAAGCTTCATCTTCATCTGAAAATGCACTTGATAAGGCCTCGTCTTCTTCCGAAGCTGCTGCTGATGAAGCTTCATCTTCATCTGAAAATGCTCTTGACAAGGCCTCTTCTTCTTCCGAAGCTGCTGCTGATGAAGCTTCATCTTCATCTGAGGATGCACTTGATAAGGCCTCTTCTTCTTCCGAAGCAGCTGCTGATGAAGCTTCATCTTCATCTGAGGATGCTCTTGATAAGGCCTCTTCTTCTTCCGAAGCTGCTGCTGATGAAGCTTCATCTTCATCTGAGGATGCTCTTGATAAGGCCTCTTCTTCTTCCGAAGCTGCTGCTGATGAAGCTTCATCTTCATCTGAGGATGCTCTTGACAAGGCCTCTTCTTCTTCCGAAGCTGCTGCTGATGAAGCTTCATCTTCATCTGAAAATGCTCTTGATAAGGCCTCTTCTTCTTCCGAAGCTGCTGCTGATGAAGCTTCATCTTCATCTGAGGATGCACTTGATAAGGCCTCGTCTTCTTCCGAAGCTGCTGCTGATGAAGCTTCATCTTCATCTGAGGATGCACTTGATAAGGCCTCTTCTTCTTCCGAAGCAGCTGCTGATGAAGCTTCATCTTCATCTGAGGATGCTCTTGATAAGGCTTCTTCTTCTTCCGAAGCTGCTGCTGATGAAGCTTCATCTTCATCTGAAAATGCACTTGACAAGGCCTCTTCTTCTTCCGAAGCTGCTGCTGATGAAGCATCTTCTTCATCCGAGGATGCTCTTGATAAGGCTTCTTCTTCTTCCGAAGCTGCTGCTGATGAAGCTTCATCTTCATCTGAGGATGCTCTTGATAAGGCCTCGTCTTCTTCCGAAGCTGCTGCTGATGAAGCTTCGTCTTCATCTGAGGATGCTCTTGACAAGGCCTCGTCTTCATCCGAAGCTGCTGCTGATGAAGCTTCATCTTCATCTGAGGATGCTCTTGATAAGGCCTCTTCTTCTTCCGAAGCTGCTGCTGATGAAGCTTCATCTTCATCTGAGGATGCTCTTGACAAGGCCTCGTCTTCATCCGAAGCTGCTGCTGATGAAGCTTCATCTTCATCTGAAGATGCTCTTGATAAGGCCTCTTCTTCTTCCGAAGCTGCTGCTGATGAAGCTTCATCTTCATCTGAGGATGCTCTTGATAAGGCCTCTTCTTCTTCCGAAGCTGCTGCTGATGAAGCTTCATCTTCATCTGAAAATGCTCTTGATAAGGCCTCTTCTTCTTCCGAAGCTGCTGCTGATGAAGCATCTTCTTCATCTGAGGATGCACTTGATAAGGCCTCTTCTTCTTCCGAAGCAGCTGCTGATGAAGCTTCATCTTCATCTGAGGATGCTCTTGATAAGGCCTCTTCTTCTTCCGAAGCTGCTGCTGATGAAGCATCTTCTTCATCTGAGGATGCACTTGATAAGGCCTCGTCTTCTTCCGAAGCTGCTGCTGATGAAGCTTCATCTTCATCTGAAAATGCACTTGATAAGGCCTCGTCTTCTTCCGAAGCTGCTGCTGATGAAGCTTCATCTTCATCTGAAAATGCTCTTGACAAGGCCTCTTCTTCTTCCGAAGCTGCTGCTGATGAAGCTTCATCTTCATCTGAGGATGCTCTTGATAAGGCCTCTTCTTCTTCCGAAGCTGCTGCTGATGAAGCTTCATCTTCATCTGAGAATGCTCTTGATAAGGCCTCTTCTTCTTCCGAAGCTGCTGCTGATGAAGCATCTTCTTCATCTGAGGATGCTCTTGATAAGGCCTCTTCTTCTTCCGAAGCTGCTGCTGATGAAGCTTCATCTTCATCTGAGGATGCTCTTGATAAGGCTTCTTCTTCTTCCGAAGCTGCTGCTGATGAAGCTTCATCTTCATCTGAAAATGCACTTGACAAGGCCTCTTCTTCTTCCGAAGCTGCTGCTGATGAAGCATCTTCTTCATCTGAGGATGCACTTGATAAGGCCTCTTCTTCTTCCGAAGCTGCTGCTGATGAAGCATCATCTTCATCTGAAAATGCTCTTGATAAGGCCTCTTCTTCTTCCGAAGCTGCTGCTGATGAAGCTTCATCTTCATCTGAAAATGCTCTTGACAAGGCTTCTTCTTCTTCCGAAGCTGCTGCTGATGAAGCATCTTCTTCATCTGAGGATGCACTCGACAAGGCCTCTTCTTCATCTGAGGCTGCTGCTGATGAAGCTTCATCTTCTTCTGAAAATGCTCTTGATAAGGCCTCTTCTTCGTCTGAAGCTGCTGCTGATGAAGCTTCATCTTCATCTGAGGATGCTCTTGACAAGGCCTCTTCTTCTTCCGAAGCTGCTGCTGATGAAGCTTCATCTTCATCTGAAAATGCTCTTGATAAGGCCTCTTCTTCTTCCGAAGCTGCTGCTGATGAAGCTTCATCTTCATCTGAGGATGCTCTTGATAAGGCCTCTTCTTCTTCCGAAGCTGCTGCTGATGAAGCTTCATCTTCATCTGAGGATGCTCTTGATAAGGCCTCGTCTTCTTCCGAAGCTGCTGCTGATGAAGCTTCATCTTCATCTGAAAATGCTCTTGATAAGGCCTCTTCTTCTTCCGAAGCTGCTGCTGATGAAGCATCTTCTTCATCTGAGGATGCTCTTGATAAGGCCTCGTCTTCTTCCGAAGCAGCTGCTGATGAAGCTTCATCTTCATCTGAGGATGCTCTTGACAAGGCCTCTTCTTCATCTGAGGCTGCTGCTGATGAAGCTTCATCTTCATCTGAGGATGCACTTGATAAGGCCTCTTCTTCGTCTGAAGCTGCTGCTGATGAAGCTTCATCTTCATCTGAAAATGCTCTTGACAAGGCTTCTTCTTCTTCCGAAGCTGCTGCTGATGAAGCATCTTCTTCATCTGAGGATGCACTTGATAAGGCCTCTTCTTCTTCCGAAGCTGCTGCTGATGAAGCTTCATCTTCATCTGAGGATGCTCTTGACAAGGCCTCTTCTTCTTCCGAAGCTGCTGCTGATGAAGCTTCATCTTCATCTGAAAATGCTCTTGATAAGGCTTCTTCTTCTTCCGAAGCTGCTGCTGATGAAGCATCTTCTTCATCTGAGGATGCTCTTGATAAGGCCTCTTCTTCTTCCGAAGCTGCTGCTGATGAAGCATCTTCTTCATCTGAGGATGCACTTGATAAGGCCTCTTCTTCTTCCGAAGCTGCTGCTGATGAAGCTTCATCTTCATCTGAGGATGCACTTGACAAGGCCTCGTCTTCTTCCGAAGCTGCTGCTGATGAAGCTTCATCTTCATCTGAGGATGCACTTGATAAGGCCTCTTCTTCGTCTGAAGCTGCTGCTGATGAAGCTTCATCTTCATCTGAGGATGCTCTTGATAAGGCCTCTTCTTCTTCCGAAGCTGCTGCTGATGAAGCTTCATCTTCATCTGAGGATGCTCTTGATAAGGCCTCGTCTTCTTCCGAAGCAGCTGCTGATGAAGCTTCATCTTCATCCGAGGATGCTCTTGATAAGGCTTCTTCTTCTTCCGAAGCTGCTGCTGATGAAGCTTCATCTTCATCTGAGGATGCACTTGACAAGGCCTCGTCTTCTTCCGAAGCTGCTGCTGATGAAGCTTCATCTTCATCTGAGGATGCTCTTGATAAGGCCTCTTCTTCTTCCGAAGCTGCTGCTGATGAAGCTTCATCTTCATCTGAAAATGCACTTGACAAGGCCTCTTCTTCTTCCGAAGCAGCTGCTGATGAAGCTTCATCTTCATCTGAGGATGTACTTGATAAGGCCTCTTCTTCGTCTGAAGCTGCTGCTGATGAAGCTTCATCTTCTTCTGAAAATGCTTTTGATAAGGCCTCTTCTTCTTCCGAAGCTGCTGCTGATGAAGCATCTTCTTCATCTGAGGATGCTCTCGACAAGGCCTCTTCTTCTTCCGAAGCTGCTGCTGATGAAGCTTCATCTTCATCTGAGGATGCACTTGATAAGGCCTCTTCTTCTTCCGAAGCTGCTGCTGATGAAGCATCTTCTTCATCTGAGGATGCTCTCGACAAGGCCTCTTCTTCTTCCGAAGCTGCTGCTGATGAAGCTTCATCTTCATCTGAGGATGCACTTGATAAGGCCTCTTCTTCCGAAGCTGCTGCCGATGAAGGATCCTCATCTTCTGAAAATGCTCTTGACAAGGCCTCTTCTTCATCTGAGGCTGCTGCTGATGAAGCATCTTCTTCATCTGAAAATGCACTTGACAAGGCCTCTTCTTCGTCTGAAGCTGCTGCTGATGAAGCTTCATCTTCATCTGAGGATGCTTTTGATAAGGCCTCTTCTTCTTCCGAAGCTGCTGCTGATGAAGCATCTTCTTCATCTGAGGATGCACTTGATAAGGCCTCTTCTTCTTCCGAAGCTGCTGCTGATGAAGCTTCATCTTCATCTGAAAATGCTCTTGATAAGGCCTCTTCTTCTTCCGAAGCTGCTGCTGATGAAGCTTCATCTTCATCTGAGGATGCTCTTGACAAGGCCTCTTCTTCTTCCGAAGCTGCTGCTGATGAAGCTTCATCTTCATCTGAGGATGCTTTTGATAAGGCCTCTTCTTCTTCCGAAGCTGCTGCTGATGAAGCTTCATCTTCATCTGAGGATGCTCTTGACAAGGCCTCTTCTTCGTCTGAAGCTGCTGCTGATGAAGCATCTTCTTCTTCTGAGAATGCTCTTGATAAGGCCTCTTCTTCATCTGAGGCTGTTGCTGATGAAGCTTCATCTTCATCTGAGGATGCACTTGACAAGGCCTCGTCTTCTTCCGAAGCTGCTGCTGATGAAGCTTCATCTTCATCTGAAAATGCACTTGACAAGGCCTCGTCTTCTTCCGAAGCAGCTGCTGATGAAGCTTCATCTTCATCTGAGGATGCACTTGATAAGGCCTCTTCTTCTTCCGAAGCTGCTGCTGATGAAGCTTCATCTTCATCTGAGAATGCTCTTGATAAGGCCTCGTCTTCTTCCGAAGCTGCTGCTGATGAAGCTTCATCTTCATCTGAGGATGCTCTTGATAAGGCCTCGTCTTCTTCCGAAGCTGCTGCTGATGAAGCTTCATCTTCATCTGAAAATGCACTTGACAAGGCCTCTTCTTCTTCCGAAGCAGCTGCTGATGAAGCTTCATCTTCATCTGAGGATGTACTTGATAAGGCCTCTTCTTCGTCTGAAGCTGCTGCTGATGAAGCTTCATCTTCTTCTGAAAATGCTTTTGATAAGGCCTCTTCTTCTTCCGAAGCTGCTGCTGATGAAGCATCTTCTTCATCTGAGGATGCACTTGACAAGGCCTCTTCTTCGTCTGAAGCTGCTGCTGATGAAGCATCTTCTTCATCCGAGGATGCTCTTGATAAGGCCTCCTCTTCTTCCGAAGCTGCTGCTGATGAAGCTTCATCTTCATCTGAGGATGCTCTTGACAAGGCCTCTTCTTCATCTGAGGCTGCTGCTGATGAAGCTTCATCTTCATCTGAGGATGCACTTGATAAGGCCTCTTCTTCGTCTGAAGCTGCTGCTGATGAAGCTTCATCTTCATCTGAGGATGCTCTTGATAAGGCCTCTTCTTCTTCCGAAGCTGCTGCTGATGAAGCATCTTCTTCATCTGAGGATGCACTTGATAAGGCCTCTTCTTCTTCCGAAGCTGCTGCTGATGAAGCTTCATCTTCATCTGAGGATGCTCTTGATAAGGCCTCTTCTTCTTCCGAAGCTGCTGCTGATGAAGCTTCATCTTCATCTGAGGATGCTCTTGATAAGGCCTCGTCTTCTTCCGAAGCAGCTGCTGATGAAGCTTCATCTTCATCTGAAAATGCTCTTGATAAGGCCTCTTCTTCTTCCGAAGCTGCTGCTGATGAAGCATCATCTTCATCTGAAAATGCTCTTGATAAGGCCTCTTCTTCTTCCGAAGCTGCTGCTGATGAAGCTTCATCTTCATCTGAGGATGCACTTGACAAGGCCTCGTCTTCTTCCGAAGCTGCTGCTGATGAAGCTTCATCTTCATCTGAGGATGCTCTTGATAAGGCCTCTTCTTCTTCCGAAGCTGCTGCTGATGAAGCTTCATCTTCATCTGAGGATGCACTTGATAAGGCCTCTTCTTCTTCCGAAGCTGCTGCTGATGAAGCTTCATCTTCTTCTGAGGATGCTCTTGATAAGGCCTCTTCTTCTTCCGAAGCTGCTGCTGATGAAGCTTCATCTTCATCTGAAAATGCTCTTGATAAGGCCTCTTCTTCGTCTGAAGCTGCTGCTGATGAAGCATCTTCTTCATCTGAGGATGCTCTTGACAAGGCCTCTTCTTCGTCTGAAGCTGCTGCTGATGAAGCTTCATCTTCATCTGAAAATGCTCTTGACAAGGCTTCTTCTTCTTCCGAAGCTGCTGCTGATGAAGCATCTTCTTCATCTGAGGATGCTCTTGATAAGGCCTCTTCTTCTTCCGAAGCTGCTGCTGATGAAGCATCTTCTTCATCTGAGGATGCACTTGATAAGGCCTCTTCTTCTTCCGAAGCAGCTGCTGATGAAGCTTCATCTTCATCTGAGGATGCACTTGATAAGGCCTCTTCTTCTTCCGAAGCTGCTGCTGATGAAGCATCATCTTCATCTGAAAATGCTCTTGATAAGGCCTCTTCTTCTTCCGAAGCTGCTGCTGATGAAGCTTCATCTTCATCTGAGGATGCTCTTGACAAGGCTTCCTCTTCTTCCGAAGCTGCTGCTGATGAAGCATCTTCTTCATCTGAGGATGCTCTTGACAAGGCCTCTTCTTCTTCCGAAGCTGCTGCTGATGAAGCATCTTCTTCATCTGAGGATGCTCTTGATAAGGCCTCTTCTTCTTCTGAAGCTGCTGCTGATGAAGCTTCATCTTCATCTGAGGATGCACTTGATAAGGCCTCTTCTTCGTCTGAAGCTGCTGCTGATGAAGCTTCATCTTCATCTGAAAATGCTCTTGACAAGGCTTCTTCTTCTTCCGAAGCTGCTGCTGATGAAGCATCTTCTTCATCTGAGGATGCACTTGACAAGGCCTCTTCTTCTTCCGAAGCTGCTGCTGATGAAGCTTCATCTTCATCTGAAAATGCTCTTGACAAGGCTTCTTCTTCTTCCGAAGCTGCTGCTGATGAAGCATCTTCTTCATCTGAGGATGCATGATAAGCCTCTTCTTCTCCTTCTTCATCTGAGATAAGCTGCTGCTGATGAAGCTTCATCTTCATCTGAGGATGCACTTGATAAGGCCTCGTCTTCTTCCGAAGCTGCTGCTGATGAAGCTTCATCTTCATCTGAGGATGCTCTTGATAAGGCCTCTTCTTCTTCCGAAGCTACTGCTGATGAAGCTTCATCTTCTTCTGAGGATGCTCTTGACAAGGCCTCTTCTTCTGAAGCAGCTGCTGATGAAGCATCTTCATCTCTGTCTTCTGAATCTGTTTTTGTGTCAGAATCTTCTCAATCAGCTTCTGTTTCTGAGTCCTCCCAGTCTGCCTCCGAGTCTTCTCTATCCGCATCTGTTTCTGAGTCCTCTCAATCTGCATTTGAGTCTTCTGAATCTGCTTCTGAATCTTCTGAATCTTTTGAATCTGCTTCACAATCTTCTGAATCTGCTTCTGTTTCTGAATCTTCTTTTGTTTCTGAGTCTTCCGAATCTGCTTCTGTTTCTGAGCCTTCCGCATCCGGTTCTGTTTCTGAGTCCTCTCAATCTGCATCTGAGTCTTCTGAATCTGCTTCTGTTTCTGAATCTTCTTTTGTTTCTGAGTCTTCCGAATCTGCTTCTCTTTCTGTGTCTTCTGAATCTACTTCTGTGTCTGAATCTTCTGAATCAGCTTCTGTTTCTGAGTCCTCCCAGTCTGCCTCCGAGTCTTCTCTATCCGCATCTGTTTCTGAGTCCTCTCAATCTGCTTCTGAATCTTCTGAATATTTTGAATCTGCTTCACAATCTTCTGAATCTTCTTTTGTTTCTGAGTCTTCCGAATCTGCTTCTGTTTCTGAGTCTTCCGCATCCGGTTCTGTTTCTGAGTCCTCTCAATCTGCATCTGAGTCTTCTGAATCTGCTTCTGTTTCTGAATCTTCTTTTGTTTCTCAGACTTCCGAATCTGCTTCTGTTTCTGAGTCCTCCCAGTCTGCCTCCGAGTCTTCTCTATCCGCATCTGTTTCTGAGTCCTCTCAATCTGCATTTGAGTCTTCTGAATCTGCTTCTGAATCTTCTGAATCTTTTGAATCTGCTTCACAATCTTCTGAATCTTCTTTTGTTTCTGAGTCTTCCGAATCTGCTTCTGTTTCTGAGCCTTCCGCATCCGGTTCTGTTTCTGAGTCCTCTCAATCTGCATCTGAGTCTTCTGAATCTGCTTCTGTTTCTGAATCTTCTTTTGTTTCTCAGACTTCCGAATCTGCTTCTGTGTCTGAATCTTCCGAATCTCCTTCTGTTTCTGAGTCTTCCCAGTCCGAGTCTTCTGAATTCGCTTCTGTTTCTGAGTCCTCCCATTTTTCCTTCGAATCTTCTGAATCCTCCCCCGTTCCTGAGGTTTCTCAATCTTCTTCTGTTTCTGTTTCTGCGTCTTTTGAATCTGCTTCTGTTTCTGAATCTTCGTCCATTTTGGAGTCTTCTCTTTCTCAATCTATCACTGAAGTTTCCACTTCAACGGAAACATTTTCCGTACCTATTTCTTCAGCCGCCTCGGTCTACTGTATCCTTCCCATGAAACGTGATGCCTCTTATGAATCCTGTCTTACAGCTTGTGGTGTTGTTTCTAGTACTGTTGATGCTAATGGTGATTCTTGTGCTGTTTTGTCTTCGATTGTTGAAGCTTACTCAGTTTGTTATCAATGTTTGTCAATCTATGATTCCGGTCTTGATCTCAATCAATCAGTCATTTCTGCGTTTGACTCTTGTGACCTTGAGATTATTGTCTGGTGTCCAGTGGAAACCAGCGAGTCTGAATCTTTTAGTTTACCTATTGAAACTGGTGAATCTGGAATTTCTTCCGAATCTTCCCTTTATTCTTCCCTTTATTCTTCTTTGTCTTCGTTGGAAGGCACTTCTCAGGCTGGTTCTGAATCCTTATTTGAGAGCTCATCGTCTTCCTCACTTTATTTCTCTAGTATTTTATCTGAGCTTTCTTCAGTCGAGATTTCAGAGTCTTCTACTCATTTTGAGTCGGAATCTCTTGAAACTTTTTTGACTTCTACTTATATTTTTACTCCTTCGACAAAGCCCTCTTGGAATTCCACATTTACGACTTCTGTTTCCTCTTCTACTACGTCTAGTATTGGTTCTCAGACACCAACTTCTTCCATTACTACATCTGTTGCTACGCAAACTTCTTTTACTTCATATACTACTGTAATTGGATCTCAGACTCTCACTGTCACTATTCCTTGTGATGATTGTACCGCTATTACTTCGACAAGTTCTTTCACTGAATATACAACCTATACAACTGTTATTGCTGGCGAGACTACCACTGTCACAGAGCCATGTGAGAAATGCACGGCTACATCTTCCCCGGAATCCACTATCTCTTCAACTGGTTCACACCCAGAATACACTACTTATACTACGGTCATTGGTGGAGAGACCTCTACAGTCACTGAGCCTTGTGAGAAATGTACAATTACTTCTTCTGAGATTAGTTCAATTTCTTCCCCAGGTTCTCACACTGAATTTACCACTTATACTACTGTCATTGGTTCTCAGACTCTTACCGTTACTATTCCTTGTGAAGATTGCACCGCTACTACTTCGTCAAGTTCTTACTCCGAATACAACACCTATACAACTGTTATTAGTGGTGAGACCAAGACTGTCACTGAGTCCAGTGAATCTAGTTCTTCCCAACCCTTTATTTCATCTCAAATTGTCACAGGTTTTTCAACCATCAATACTGGTACCACCTTTAGTCTTACTGAATCTTTGGAAACCCACATTGTTTCTGGTTCAGAGTCTTCCTTGTTAACTGCTTCATCAAATACTTCTCCATCCAAGGCTACTTCCTTGACTTCCGAAACTGGTACTAATGTTCCTGAACAATCAACAGAAGTTACTACTTTAACTGAGACAACTTCAACCTCTGTTAAGTCATCGTCATTTATCATGTTCACGTCTGTTATTGGTGAAACTACAGTCATTGTGACAGCTTCACAGGAATCTGCTCCTGTTAATTCTGTGTCTAATATCCCTATTAGTTCTGGAGTTGAAACTGTTTCAAGTATTCATACTAGTTCGGTTTCTGAAATTTCTTCTAACTCTGTATCTTCATCTTTTACTTCTACTTTTGGTCAAGCTGAACAATCACCCGCAAATACTGAGTCTCATCAGACTAACGTTTTGCAATCAATTTCTTCTGTTTCTGAAGCACAACCAAGCACCAGTTCTTTAGTTTCAACCAATGTTGTTGTTTCTGAAATCACATCACTTACCCCTGAATCTAAAACTGGGACTCCTTCAGCTCATGAATCCTCATTTATTTCTTCTCAGTCTGGCGCTGGCACTGGCTCTGAGATTGTGTCTCCCCTTGAGACATTTACACTTGCAAGTTCACTGTCATCTGGCCTTGTTTTCGCTTCGTCTTCAATTCCTGAGGCTTCTTCATTGTCTACATCTGTTACATCCTCACCTTCTATTCATGAGGGTTCTTCACCTATTTCTTCGGCGACATCTTCTTCCGGATCTCTGGTGTTATCTCCGTCTTACACCACCTTCACTATTGTTACTGAGGGTGTCACTCTTACACTAACGGAGAGTTTTGTGGAGAATTACTCTACTACCGAGCCGGTTATTTCTTTGGCTTCGACTTCGACTTCGACTTCTCAGTCCCCTGTTGCTCTAGTGAGCACCCAAAATACATTGCCTGTTTCTTCTTCTCTCCCATCTCAATACCAACCTGGTTCTAGCTCAGGTGGAGTTGAGCAAGTTAATTCGGCACACACAAATATTACACCTTTAAAGGGTGGTTTGGCTCTAGTTATGATTTTGCTTCTTTTTATGATGTGATGACCCTTAATTACTTTGATTTTTTTACTGTTTTTTGGTTTTAATTTTTTGGTTTTATATTTTTTTACAATTTTTTTTTTCAAATTTTGGTTTTTATGTATTAATACTTGTTTGGTTTGAACCTTCCAATAATAGGTTTTTTATGATATTTTTTTGTTTTATAGATTATATTTTAAATTTTAAACATTTTAAATATATTGATATTTAGAGCCCACGTAAATCCTAACAATAGGAAACAGAAGCCAGCACGAAATAGAAGCCAGAAACGAAATTATTCTTAGCTAAACAAATAAGCCTGCCTGTAAATTTTGTATTGTTCTACAAAGAAAAAAAATGGGTAAAATTACCCTACTTGTTCATCAAGTTAACTATATATGGATATTTTTTCACATAGACATGATCAAGCTTATCAAGTCATCAAAAATGAATTAAAAACAATATTCAAAACAATCTATAAGGAAATTACAGAAGCTATTAAAGACCTATTTGATCTTCTGTTTTAAAATCATGAAGTTTTTACACTGGATACTTATGTATATTAATTTCAAGATGGAGAGTGATTGCAAGAAGAGATAGAACAACGTCCGACAAATCTCAACCGGTTTTCCAGGATGCCTGAATCTTTACCTGTATTCATCTGCAATATCAAACCTATAAAATATCAAAGCATTGTTTTATCAATCTATTTAAATTATCAACTTTTGATTTTCTACCCATCTTGTGTTGTGGTTAAAGGGCCTAAAAGATTGAAACAATTAGGTGATTTTTGAAATGAGATCAGGGTTAGGTTCTCGAATTTATGTATTCCAGTGGAGGCACAACATAAGACGATGTTGCCTTGTACTTTATAATGAATGATATGCCATTGTATTATAAATGAATGTTTTGCCAGTACCTGCACCACCTTGCAGGAAAAAAATTTTCATTGTTTTGTTGATTGTCTGAAATTTTATTGTCAATGTAGGAAATTAAATCATTATAAGCATTTAACTGTAAGCTTTTAATTGATTAGAATTCATTTTTATCAAATTAATTTCATTAGTGTAGTATATTGGTAGTAAAGTTCATATTCCAAAATTCTAACCATTGCCTTTGATGCACTATTATATCTAGATTCAATGTAATTGTTAATTTCATTAATAGCATGATTTGATATTATTGGATTAATAATTTCAAATGTAACAGCAGCTTTGTCAGTACCTTTATAAACATATTTATATATTATTGTTGTAAACCACTCCATCTCATTAAAATTACAACAAGTTCCATTACATAACATGATAATAGAAGCTATTCATTTACAAGATATCGGCTATTGTCGATAATAATCAAATACCATAACCGTGATAACCCGAAATCCAAAACCCCTCACCATAATAGAAACCCAATAGATCCTCTTAATTATGAGCATCCGGTCATCTATAAAAGGATCCAGGATCCCCTTCAAAATAAACATTTTCCTCTTTTACTCTCCTCAGATAATTTTGATTATATTGAAGATCTACGACCTAGTTTGATTTCCGCAAATCTATGATCTAGTCCTATAATTATTTGAGTTGAGACCAGAGGCTAATATCTTAAGTAGTAACTCCTAAATTTACGTTCTACATTCTACACTCTCTTCCTCTCTTCTTAAGTAATTCGTAGCATAGTATAGATTCAATATAGCCACCTAGAAATAATAATATCGTAAGGCCCTCTCATTTGTCATTCTCGGCCACAACAATTATACAAGATTCACGCTAGCGTTCGCCGAAATGTTTTATGGATTATGAAAATGTTTTACGTCAAATGTTTTTCGTCAAATGTTTTACGTCAAATGGATTACGTCAAATGGATTATGTCAAATGGATTATGTCATATTTAATTGTAATGTAATATAGTCATATATTAAGAATATTTTATTATTTATACTGATTATAATAGTTAAAAATTAATTAAATGAAAGTTATAAGAAATAAAATTATATAATTATATAAAAGTTAATGTATTTTATTAAATAATTTTTTTAAATTTATATTATTTAAAATTTTTAGTTCTTGTTCATTTAATTCAAAGTCATCTCTATCAGATTCATCATTGTAGTCATTAATAGATTTATCATCTATGTCTTTAATGCAATGATTCTTGGAATTGGTGCAAATAAGATTGATATTATTATTACATGTAATTGGATGCACTGGGGGTTGAGATTGTTGGTTTTGATATAAATCAGATTCATCTAATTTATTGGATTGAGTGAAATTAAATTCCTGCAACGAAGATATACTGAAATGTTTTGTGACAGTTTCATACATGATATTTGGGAAAATATTATAGTGATTTTTTGGGAGAAAATCAAGTTGATTGACATTTGTGATTCTCGAAATGCGACATATGCTTGAAAATGAACAAAAGAATGATTAGTGAAATCTATGCTAATGCATGACAATAATTGACCTTGTGATTTATTGATTGACATTGCAAAACATGTTTTGATGGAGAGTTGTAATATTTGTGGCGGGATCTTGTAATCTTTGTAACGGGGTGTTGTTATCTTTGTGACAGGATGTTATCATTAGTTAAATTTTTATTGGTAGTACAATAATGGTTTAAATATCATTATCAATTTCTTGGAAAATTACATTATCTACATTTTTAATCCTGTTGGGAAGTATGAAGTTTTAATATTTTCTGAGAGTATTATAAATGAATTATATTATTGAGTGTAGAATACAAATACTGAATTTTTTTAATATATTTTTTTGCTGCAGTTGATTATTGTGAAAGAAATTTTATTTTGAATTTTTTCTGTATTGCAAAGAATATCAATGTTTTTGTTATTTTAAAATATAATTTGTAATATATCTAATATAATATTAATCTCAAGTATTATTATTCAGTTGAATTTTTGTTCTGTAGATTGAAATCAAAAAACAAATGTAATTTTAATATTGTATTGTTACATTTAACGTAGTTTAGTTAAATGATTGTAATATTGATTAGGGTTTTTTTTGATATTTAATGTCAATGTCAATGTCAATGTCAGAATAAATAATGAAATATGAGTATGTTGTATTTTTTTATAATTTCATTGATGTACATATATATCGATTGTTTTTCAAACTATTTTTTTTTGATAATATTGATAATCATTTTCCTTATTATATAAATTTTATAAAATCCTGAAATACATGTAAACAGATATCCCTGTTTATTGCCTTTAGAGGCAATTTTATTAAATAGATATATATATATATATATATATATATATATTGTCAATATTGTCTATTTAATAAAATGTTTTGATTTTTTTAATTTTTTTATTTTATTTTAGTATACCTTAACAAAAAAAATTATAAACATTGGTATGTTAATAGGATATTTTGTTTTTTTAGACATGATTTGTTTTTTTATAATTTCAATATTTAATGACATGTTTGCTTTAAAGGTTTAGGCATTATTAATGAGTATGTGCATAGAGTATTTTGTCTTTTTGAACGTGATTTGATTTTTATAATTCCATTATTAAGTGATATTCTTGGTTCATTGGTTTGTGATTTATTGTTGTTCTTAAATATGATCATTTGTGATTTTGATTTCATTATTAAGTGAAATGTGAAATGTTTGTTGTATTTATTTGAGAATTTTGTCCAATATGGGTATTTATGTTAATTCAAATGGTATATACATATATAATTAAATATATAATTATATATTTAATTATAATGGAATAAGAAAGCTACTTCTATTGAATATTTGAGTGAGTTAGTAATAACCATTAAATTTAAAAATTATTTTATATATATTACAACTTATAATATTATAATGTTTGTTTTTATTCAAGGGATATATGTAGAACTATATAACGTCTGTTAGGATTTACGTGGGCTCTAAATGGAATTCTGTGTTAGCTATTATAGTCGATTAGAGTAAACAGCAGTAAAAGGGCACAGCCAATTTAATAACAATAATATGGATGAGGAAAGAAAACAAATAAAATTTTCACTTTATTTTTAGTGTCCTTTTCCAAACCCTAACCTGTTATTTCTGTATCCCAACAACGTCAGCATCTTCAACAGCCCAAAAATAAGTCCTGATACCAGCTTAAGAGGAGCTTAAGAGGAACAGGAAGGGGAGGAGGGGGGAAGCAAAAAATTCAAACCTTCCCAACTTATATCCGCTTGTATTCATCAACGCTGAAATTGTATTTCTTAATCCTTTCAAGCAGAGACAAACCTTACAATCAAGCCAATTAAACTGCTTGAGAGTCGACATGTCCATTTCTGGAGATATCCGTTTTAATCCTTTGCTTTCTTCTTCAAGCAAAGGACACTTAACCAAATTGTGATGAACTGTTTCCAACTCTCCACTTTTACAGCTGGAAAATCCTTTTCAATTCGAAACTTGACAACTTATAATGGAAATTCTGGAGCATAATCTTTGTGGAGAAATGTTTTAATGAATTTTGATATATTGGATCATAATATAAATTAAACAAAACAAGTTACCAATCTTATTTATATTGAGATATTGGCTAATAATTATTTTTGTTCTTATTTGTTTAACAGGTTCAAATTTCAAACAACGTTAATTAATTTTGACTACTTCGAGCTTTATTCAAATATTTCCAAGATAATCCAAGAAGGAAAATAAAAAATGAAAAATTTATGTAAAGAGAAATTGTAATTAAGGAGCTCCCTATTTCTTCTTTGAAGTTGATTTTCAATTTTGACGATCAAGCCAAGTTAAGATAAATGTCTGGTCATTTATGATCATTGTATCAAACCTATTCCAGACAATAACTTTTCTTAGAATTGTTTAGAAAGTATTGATCTTGTGTCAATTAAAAAAAGTTAATTGCAAATTTTCCTAGAGCAATATTTAATGAGAAATTTATTTGGAAAAAAGCAAGTTGCAAAAAAAAAAATTCAAATTCTTAAGAAAAAAAAGATTATTTAGTTAGAAGACTTGATGTTGCTATTAGAAATGTGCTGGACGTGGGGCTTAGTATACCATTT